CCAACTCATAGCGACCCCACCTTGGGTTTCTGAGGTGGTATCTCTATGGAAGTAGATTGCCTGGTCTTCCTTCCGAGGAGTGGCTGGTGGGTTTGAACTGCCAGTCTTCTGGTTAGCAGTCAGATGCCTTAGGCACTGCGTCACCAGAGCTCCCAAATTATGGTACTACATAGTATATGTATAATAAAACATTGGACATTTCAATAGTCTTCTCATTACAGCTCAGTGACATTAATTATGTGCATCATGTTGTCAACCATCACCCTTATCCCACCTTCAATTTTAAGTCATTACATCGAGATATTTTCAGTAGTCTCCTTACTTGTCTGCCAGTTTCTAGTCTTCCCCTTCCAGTCTGATCCTCATTTTACTGCCAGAGTGATTTGTTTAACTGTCATCTCTGATTGCAGCTCCCTTGCTCAGGATCCTTTGTCTTAGTGCCTGCCTTCATTTCTTTATTTACTAAAATGGTACCTATTTGTTTTGAGCTGACGCTTTCCTCAGTAGGCCTTGGGATACACAGTTGAATAAAACTGGACACAGCCTTATGTTTATTTAGTCTCATTGGGGACACAGATTATTAATCTCATGATCACACAAATAATTATACAACCACAATTGTGTTAAAGACCATACTGGAAAAGGACACGTTGCTGTGAGAGTGGATACAGGAGCTGGTTTATCAGGAGTATGGAAGGGTAAGAGGATTCTCAGGAAGGTCACCTTCAAGCTGGTCCCTAAAGTGTGGACATCCCAACCTGAGGAATATAAACTGATTTGCATGTAATAGAGGACCTTTGGGGTATCTGGTTGTTGCTAAACCTGTTTGACCTTGTCCCTGTATGCCCAGTCACACTGAGCTTTCTCAGAACTCTTCTGGAAAACCTCTTCCCTCCATCATCAATTTCAAATCTTAACACACAAAAAATGAATTTCTCTGTGATGCCTTCCTTGAATTCCCCAAGGCAGATTTAGGGGAAAGAACACCTCCTTTGCCCATCTGTTTATCCCTGTAGGAGACTGTCAACACCTTGGTGCAGGGACCTTTCCTTTATAGGGGTCAGTTTGTTGGGCTATTTGGGAATGAGGGACTGATTAGCAAAACAAGATGGGGAACTACATATGCAACCCCTCTCAAATAATGACATCTCCTGAGAGAGAGGCCGGTTTGGAAAAGCTAAAAAAAAAAAAAAAAAATTCTTTGGGCAATGTTAATCCCACTCCCAAATTGCTAATACATATATTATCCCATTTAGCGTCTATAACAACTGTGTAAGGTGGTGATTATCTTTGTTTTATAGGTAGAATCTGAGTAACTTGTCCAGTTCTAAATCCTGGGGTGCTCTTTCCACAGTACTATGATGTTGCTCTGCATATTTGCTGAATAAATGAATTTTGATTATTTTTAAAGTACCCCTCTGGGGTGAAGGTAATAGGAAAAGTTGAATGTGTGGTACTTTGAAATGCCAAATTTTAAGACTGCTTTCCTCATTCCTTCTTTAATGTACTCTCCTCACATTTGTGTGTATATACACACACCCTTTGGTTATAATAGTGTCTTTTACTTTATGTTGCATGTTTTTGATAGCTGACTCATGAGACAGCCCAACTCATGGCTACCTTGTGCACAACTGAATGAAATGGTGCCCAGTCATACGCTATCCCCGTGACAGGTTACAGATCGGACTATTGTGATCCGTATAGCTAGGAAAACATATTTGAAGTATATTGAACTCGGTTTAATATTCAGCTGTGTTGGTTCTTCTATGTTAGAGAGATTATATTTTAGATATTTTGATGTAAATTTTATCTTTACAATATGACTTATTCAGACAAAGTTCCTTTTAGATTTAGAACAAAGGATTTGTTGCAGATATTTGTGAACAAATGAGAAAGCTAGAATGTACTGCATTTGCAAATCTTTTAAAAATAGCCATAATTGTGAATCTTTTTATTCAGCAATGGACTAAAGTATAGCTATTGAATTTTATGATGAAGTTTATTTAGCTTTCTGTTTTACCTCATTTTTCTACAGATTAACAGTTACTAAAGAAATTTGCAATAAAAATATTCATTCTGTTATTCAGAGTTTTATTTTGCCCTTTGCTCTTCTGTTTTATGAGTATTTGCTCATCATCTTGTGAAGGAGAATACTATTTCAGAAACAAATGGAGAAGATGTAATTTGAAAATTATTAAAGTTGAGGTTTTGCAAAGGATAAAGTTTTTAAGGAGAAAATAGATGCTGCCTAAATTTTACCTCAGTTATTTACTTGATGTTGACTGTTCTGTGCCACTGGGGAGGACTCTTGCCATCACAGAATTGTGTGCAGACTCTCAGATGAAACTGTATTCAAAATGCCATTCCATTTTTTTACCTGACCATCAATTCCTTCAGTCTGTCTTTTGAATGGTTATTTGGTTGTAACCTCATTGCCTAACTTAGAATGCATTTTCTAGACATTTCAAAAAGTTTTTAACAGAATTATTTGTTAATAATGTATATTAGGTGAGTCTTTGGTGGCGCTAGGGAATTTCTTCTGTTTAACTGATTGCAGGGACAAATAACTTGCATGGTGTATCAGAATTGGAGAAATACCAGAAATGTCAAAATAGATGTATTTTAATGCAGTTGTTTCCCTGGGAATTAGAAAGGGCTAGGTGAAAGGAGACATTGTATTCGTTCAGGAAGAAATACAGGGCCTAGGAGTCAGTTGGACTTGAAGACCAACCCAGGCAGCTGTTTCCTGAATGTAGAATGGAGCAATGTAAATCCTTAAGTCTTTGGCTCTGCTTTCTCATCAGTTGAAGGAGCTCTGGTGGAGTAGTGGTTAAATGGCTCCTAACCAAAAGTTCAGCAGTTCAAACCCATGATCCACCCCATGAGACAATGAAGAGGCAGTCTGCTTCTGTAAAGATTTACAGCCTTGGAAACCCTATGGGGGCAGTTCTGTTCTATCCTGTAGGGTCTATATGCTTTGGAATTGACTCGTTGACAGTGAGTTTTGGGTTTTCTCATCAGTAAATGGGTATGATACTTCTATTATACTGCTGGGTGTAAGGAATGAAAGGATAGGACAGATGTATGTAGAGAGCCCAGTACATGCATTGTTGTTGTTGTTATGTGCTCCGGCTCATAGGGACCCCGCCTTGGGTTGCCCTTGGGTTGCGGAGGCAGTATCACTATGGAAGTAGATCACCCAACCTTCCTTCCGAGGAGTGGCAGGGGTGGGTTTGAACCACCAGCTTTCAGATTAGCAGTCAAGTGCCTTAGGCACTATGCTACCAGAGCTCCTAGTACATGCATAGATCCCCAGTAATTAAATTCTTTTTTCTCTTTTGAGATATGCATTGCAACAGAGCTAGAATTCTAAAATGGGCAATTGTGGCAGTAAAAGACGCTGTTAAAATTTGAAGTGAAATAATAGAAGAAAAGTCAACCTGTGGCTTTGATATAGTGACTCATTTTTGTAGTAGATTTTTTTTGGAAAGTAGTATATATATGTGGGTGCTCAGTGAGTGAGATTAAGTAAGTCTGTATACTGCCTCGGAAACCCAAGGAGGGGTCGCTATGAGTCGGGGTCAACTTGACGGCAAACAACAACAACAACATATAAAAATTGGTATTTTATGAACTTTGAAGTGAGCAATGAACTTTTAAAATTGATTAAAATTCTCTGTTGGCCTTCTCCCTGTATTGCTTGCATATTACTACCTAAAAGATTTTCCTCTTTTGTTGAGGCTTCACATCAGCTCTGTGATAATGTGATGGGCTTCTCCTGAGCATTGTTTTTTAACCTTTTACTTACTCGAATTTACATGTAACCTAAAGATAGATACGTGGTGAATAATTTTTCGAGTTTTAGTTT